AGGCGGTACTCTTAGCTCGAGGAGTGGGGGGCTACTGATGAAGGATGATTTGACCCAAACTATGAAACGGTGACACGTAGACGCCGACTTGGCATAAGCGACAACCTAGCATTGAAGCCCGAAATGACTAAGTGACGAGCCCACGAAGCAGTCCGCTACGTTACAGCTCACGAGGGGAAGAGTCCGCCACGAGGCGAACTCTAGGTCCCCCGTGCTATCTTTGAAGAGATACTCCGAGGCAACTGTAGCTCGCGAGCTAAAGTTATTAGCTCGCCCGAGTTCCCTAGCAGACAAGTCATTATGAGGACCAATTTCACTAAGGGTAATCTTGGAGTGTTCCAAGCTTGCCACGAGATAGCTCGCGAACGAGCCGCACTAGCGCCCTCTAGGAAGCTTCCGACTAACAGACCGTACCGGTCAGATTGCGCCATATCCTCTACTGACGGCGCAGTCTCGATCCTTTTGACAGTCTGTGTCCACGTCTCTCGGTAGGCAAAGGCGTGCTTGCCACTTTGGAGACATGTCACTCGCCCGAGCGAAGCGTACACCACACCGGCCACCTGCGCAACCCTAGCAGGTAACGGCTGTGGCAGGAGCCCAGTGGCGGTTATGCCCGACCTAATGTGAGTGTCCCTATAAAAGCCCTCAGGGCAGAAGGAAAACTTCTTCTTGAATCTCTGACTTCTTGAACATAGTGGTAACGCGTTATCCTCACTCTTAGCCTTCGTTCTCCTTTCGCTTCTTGTACACAATACTAACTTAAGCATCGGAGCGTTCTCGCTGGGAAACCCCTCGGGAGTTCTTCCTCTTTCCTCTCGTCTCAGGTACCTCTCAGGAGCCACGCGAGCGCCAGCTAGGAGTGACCGGATTGCGCAACATCCATAATAATAATAATAATAATAATAATAATAAAAATAATGATGATGATGATAATAAATTGTGCTTATTTTATAGAGAAAGTAACACCAAAAAGTCAAAAGACCCAAACACTTAGCAGATTAATTTTGTTTTGTGCACTTAAAAAGTAAAGATAGTTAAGTCATTAACTTTAAACAAATGATCACATGAAAAAAAAATTGTTTTTTATCAAATGGCTAGATAGAATAAAGATCCAAATACAAAACAAGAGCAATGCTGGCATCATAGGAGAGCTATTTTAATCACAAACTTACTCCGCGTGATGCTAGCATCAACAACTACAATCATCATCACTAACAGGGTCCTGTAATTCTAGTTTTTAATAGAATTCAAAAGAGGAAATTTAGTTGAAGGGGGTTAATTAGGGTAAGCAATTAGGTTGGTAATGAGCTGATTTGACTATCAATTAAAATATAATTTCCAAACCGGCATCAAATATATGACTAATAAATTTAATTTGCTTTATTAATTTATCGATTTTCAAAAGCGGCGTCGAAAACCACTTTAGTACAATTTTAAAATCAATTTTTATTAATTTATTTACTTATTTTGATGGACTGAAAAGGATGTATATGAAGTTTAACCTGTGAGTATATAATTAATAAATGTCATTTTCTTTATTTTAACTAAAAATTAATCAGTTAGTCACCTCTTCAATGCCTGACTAACCTCTTTTTGTTAAATTTTCTCTTAATTTGATGATTAAGAAAGGCAGTGTGATTATGTAATTAGCTATTATATGATCCATTATTAATTTAAAAGATTTTTTTTTGGGATTTTTAATGGTGTAGAATATTAACTGCCTTTCTCTATTTTAACTAAAATTAATCAGTTAGTCACCTCTTGTCCTATTCAATGCCTTACTTACCTATTTTTGTTAAATTTTCTTTTAATTTGATGTTTAAGAAAACACAGTGTGAGCATGTAATTAGCTGTTATATGATCCATCATTAGTTTAAAAGCAATTTTTTGTTTTTTGTTTTCAATGGTGTAGAATATTAGATTATTTTTTAATTAAAATTCTTACTAGTTGCAAATTAAGAAATGTAATCATGACAGTATTGTTTGGAGAATTTATGTTTATTAGGTAACACGGAGAGGAGAGATTCCTTGAGAAATTTAATTCTCTGATACAATTGTGTGGGATTGCTGGATTCCTCAAAAGTTTATTTCAAAGATTCTTGAGGAAAAAAAAAGGGAAAGTTCCAGTCTTCTAAAGAAGGAAGGCTAGCTCTACTTGCTGCTTTGGGCATTGAAGTCTGACAAATATCTACCCCATGTTTGGGTAGGTGGAATTGGAGGGAGGAAATGGAATTTTGGCACAAAGAGAATCTGATTCCATTTCCTAGTAAAGAATAAACTTGAATCTTTCTGAATCTCATAATAAAATAAGGGTTAAGAAATGGATTTTTGCCTTTGAACATACGGCAATTGGATCAAGACTCTGGCACATGGCAATAGGGTGACTTGGCAAGACATGTGAACCCCTGTACACTCCAAATTAACGGCCACGAGGCCGGCCGGTCGATCTGATAACCGGTCAAGACTATCGGCGAACAAGGAATGGGACAGATGGATGAATTGTTGGCAAAGGGATCTAAATGACCCAGGAATCTTCCATGTGATTGCTTAGGTGGCTACCTAAAAGGTAAAAGGAATTTTGGTTATTGACATCACAAGCTTCAGCATGAAGCCTCTGCCTACCTGGCAAAAGAAGGCCATTTCATTTAAGGCAGAAGTTATCAATTTTTTGATAACCAAACAGAAATTTCAGTAAAGGCAGAAAAGTTATCAGTTAGGAGAATTATTTGTAGCACCTTTTTTCCTATTTCTTGTGATAAATGCAATTCCCATATTTTCTGAGAAAATCCGTGGATAAGAGGTTAAATTTCCTATATAAAGCCGTATAGATTCTATAGAATTGGAAAGCCTTTCTAACTAAAAGAAGAAATAAAGAGAAAGGAAAAGAAAGAGATGTTGAAAAGGCAATCTTTTTCTTTTCCCTGTTGGCTGCTACTATTAGGAAGAATTTATTAAACCGCCCCCTATATTTTAATTTTCTCAAAAAGATCCCTTTTTGTTTCAAAAAATATGTAAATACAACCCTTTCCGTTAAGTTAATTGGGTTGATACAATATGCTGCTGCAATGTTTTTAAAACTTTTAAAATTCCAGTTTTGCCCTTGAAATCCCTAACAAGCGGTTATTATAAGCCAAAAGCACAAAAAATGCCCACATTTGGTTAAAAAAAGCTTAAAAGAGTGTTTTCTTTTCACACACAAAAAAAGCCTCGTTAGAAAAAAAAAAGCCAAAAATTTTGACTTATTGCTTATTAGGTTTTAGATAAGCCTTTTTTTTTTAAATATACATTTTACAGCGCAAAATTCCTTTTTAAAAAGGTTCAAATATGATACCAAAAAAAACTTTTAGCCAATCAACCGATATCATAAAATAAGTGGTCAATCAGATGGCATTCATCAAAATTTAATTCATGGGGTGCTTTGATTGGTCCGTACCATCTCTTTCTCATATCTTAGATTTTCTCAAAGCTCATTTACATTTTTGGAAAAGACTTTTTAAAATGTCATGCCAAATGCTCAAATGCATTTATTTAAAATAAGTACTTATTCAAAAGTGTTTAGAAAAAAAAAAAAAACTTCCAGTGCAAAAGGTGCACAGGATACATTTGCAAGTAGATCCCCTCGAGTAGAATATTCTAAAAAAAGGTGTGAAAATATTCAAAATACTCATGAAGTTACTATTAAACTTAATTTTTCTAGAAAAAAATAATACAAACTTTATGAACAATAAAAACAAAGAGAACTAAAGTTGCAGTTTTACCTTTGAGTGATTGATCAGTTCAGTTTGGAAAGAATACAAATACAAATATGTACAGTGCAAAACCTTGTATTTTGAACTATTTTGTGTGTATTTGCACTATACATATTTGCATTTATACTCTTTCCAAACTGAGCCAAAGGGCAAATTTGAAAAATAAATCAATTTTAGAAGAGAGATTAGAAGGATTTGGGGTAGTGATTCATATGAATAGAAATTTTAGAAAATAAGCATTTTTGTCAAAAATAATTATATAAGTATTTTGGACATTTTCATGTCTCTCTTTAAAAGATTCTATCATAAGAGATCTATTTGCATCTTTGTCAGAAAGTTAAGGAGAGGCTTCAGCAACAACCAAAAATTCCAGGGGATGTTTCAGCGATTTACCCTATTCATATCTTTGTTACAAGATAATCTATCGAAAGCGTGCATTTGTATATTTACTAGAAATATAAGGAAAATGTTTTAAATAGAATTCAAAATATAAGGAAGTTTTTAAGTATTTATCAGAAAAAACGTGTTAGGTTTACATAATTTTCTTGGCTATGTTTGGTTTAAAAAAAAAATAAAAAAAGGAAGGGAAAGACAGGAAAATCAATACAAGGGTTGTTAAGATTTCTCAGTCTTTTCCTTCCTTTCTCTTACCTTTTCCTTCGAACTAAACATAGTTTAAAAGTATTCTGAAAAGAAAAATTTCCTAAAATTAAAACCGTTAAAAAGGGAAGGATTTAATGATGACGGTGGAATACGCAAAGGCCACGATACAACTTGCAACTATCAAAGATGCTTACGCTGTTTCGCAGTTACGCGCGTCTGCATGAACTCCTGGCAGAGGTGCGGAGGTCATTAACAGAAAAGTGGGACCCATCTACAATACGCAATTCCCCATGTCACCGTTCTCCACGGGCCCACATCGCCATCAAGCCCAAATCGTCACAATCTCGTGGACGTTACTCGCAAACAAAAAGGTCGCAGTCAACACCGAGTAATAACCATAAATTAAAAATAAAAAAATAGAAAAGCTGTCACCTCACTAGAAAATGCGAAAGAACTTTGGAATCAAAACCAAACAAGGGCTAACACCTGTTTCATTGCCTACTAAAATACCTAAAATATCCCTAAGCATGCAACAAAATTACGATAGACTCCGAATTCAGGAAGGAAGTCAAATCTCCGTTTCATTTTTTGTCTCGCTCTATAAAATGGTTCCCGAGGAACCCAAATGCCTATGAAGTCTAAAAAGCTTCGAAAGCAACAAACCAACTCCTTCTTTTTCTTCTTCTTCTTCTTCTTCTGTCTTCTCTCTCAATCTCTCTGGACGTCTGACCATGGCGACTCTGACTTGCTCGGCCTCCGCTCTCAGTCCACTACTCGGTGGCGCCCCCAACGCAACCGCCGCCGCTGATTACATTTGCAGCCAGTTTGCCGCTGTCTCGACTAGTTTCACAGACACCGCTCGGGCCGTCGACAACACTTACCTCCTCTTCTCGTCCTACCTCGTCTTCGCTATGCAACTAGGCTTTGCCATGCTCTGTGCCGGCTCCGTTCGCGCCAAGAACACCATGAACATAATGCTCACTAACGTCCTCGACGCTGCAGCCGGAGGTCTGTTTTATTACCTCTTCGGGTTTGCCTTCGCCTTCGGCACCCCTTCGAACGGCTTCATCGGCCGCCACTTCTTTGGTATGAACGCGTTCCCATCGCCGTCGTTCGACTACAGCAACTTCTTGTATCAGTGGACTTTCGCCATCGCCGCTGCTGGGATCACCAGTGGGTCGATAGCGGAGCGAACCCAATTCGTCGCTTACCTTATTTACTCGTCCTTCTTGACGGGTTTTGTCTACCCGATTGTCTCTCACTGGTTCTGGTCCCCCGACGGATGGGCCAGTGCCTTCAGGACTGATAACGATTTGCTGTTCGGTTCCGGGGTCATCGATTTCGCTGGATCGGGCGTCGTTCACTTGGTGGGAGGTATTGCTGGACTGTGGGGTGCCCTCATCGAGGGTCCTAGAATTGGACGGTTCGATCACGCCGGTCGATCTGTGGCTTTGCGTGGGCACAGCGCGTCGTTGGTCGTGCTGGGTACCTTCCTGCTGTGGTTCGGTTGGTATGGATTTAATCCAGGTTCCTTCGGGATCATATTAAAGCCCTATACGACGGGAAATTACTATGGACAGTGGAGCGCCATTGGCCGGACGGCAATAACTACGACCTTGGCTGGTTGCACAGCTGCTCTGACCACTTTGTTCGGGAAGAGGTTGCTTGCGGGACACTGGAACGTTACCGACGTCTGCAACGGGTTGCTTGGTGGGTTCGCGGCCATAACCGCCGGCTGCTCAGTGGTGGAGCCGTGGGCTGCTATCATTTGCGGGTTCGTCGCCGCTTGGGTCTTGATTGGATGCAACAGGCTCGCCGACAAGTACAAATACGACGACCCACTTGAGGCGGCACAGTTGCACGGTGGCTGTGGAGCTTGGGGGATCATATTCACGGCCTTGTTTGCAAGGAAGGCATACGTCGAGGAGGTCTACGCAGCGGGGAGGCCATATGGGTTGTTCATGGGCGGAGGTGGAACGCTCCTGGCAGCTCACATTATTCAGATTTTGGTGATCATTGGGTGGGTCAGTGCCACCATGGGTCCTCTGTTCTATGCGCTACATAGATTGAATTTACTGAGGATATCTGGTGAGGATGAAATGGCCGGAATGGATATGACCCGGCACGGCGGCTTCGCATACGTCTACCACGACGATGATTCGTCGCAGAAGCCGGCAGGGTTCATGCTGAGAAGAATAGAGCCCGCTAGCACTCCCAGCACCACTCAGAGTGCATCACCAATTGTGTGATCACACTGATGCCAGTCTGAACTCCTATTACCAATCGAACTGAATCACAAACTCTGTGATCTCACTGCTGGTAGTAGCTTCTATTCTCTTTCTCTGTCTCTTTTTTTTTTTTTTTCTTTTCTGGGGATTGGGGGTGTTAAAATTCTAAGATATTGTAAAATATCAGCGTGATTGGGGTGGGAATTGGAGGATTGGATAAGGAAGAACAGTATTTTGTTCTCTGTAATTTCCTTTTTTTTTCTTAAAAAAATGATTGTGGTGAAAAAGTTGACTGTGATACATGTTTTGGAATTTTGGCTGGTTTTTAAATTAATGATTTTGTAAAATAATTACTTCCTTTTGTTCACTTTTGACATTTTAGATTTATGGGTTAGAGCTCCAAAGACTATGTCTCACTTCTAGCTCTTTTTTTGTTTAACAAATAAGCTTATGTTGGGTTTGTTGTTGATTTTTGTTTCACTTAAAACTTTGATTGGTTCCTTAAATGGCATTCTTAGTATGTGTTTGGCGCCATGCGTTTCACCAAGAAAAAACGGAAACAACATTTACTTACGGAAGGCAGTTACGGTTTTTGGTAGCGGTTATAATGTTTGGGGCTCTGCCGTCTTTTGCGGATTTACTCCAACCATATTATTACTGATTCTTTGCAGTCTTTTTTGAGAATTTCTCCTATCATTTATTTGATTGTAGAAGTTTTTTATTATTCTCCTTAATTCATTTATATATTTTGTTCTTGAGAAATTGTATCTAGTTCCGATTAGCCTTATTGGTAATTCTCTGTAACTTATGAATTCCTTGAATGAATGAAATATGTTGTAAGACTTAAAAAACATTTAATTGCATTTGGTAAACCATTTTTGGAAAAAAAATGTTACCCCATTCATTGTTTTGGGTAATATATAAAAATCTCCCCTAAAATTTTTAACAATCATAAAAATCTCCCCTATTGTTTCAATTGAACAAAAACCTCCTTAAACTTCTAAAAAATTTGACAGAAACCTCCAGTCTGTCACTGACCTCGACGAAAAAATAAATTTCTTTTAAATACCCATTTTACCCTTTTGTTTCCTTGGCACTGTTGGCAGTAGGTCCTATGCTTCACTCGAGAAGGATTTATCACAATGAACCCATGATTTACAAGTTAAGCTTCAATATATATACGGACATTCAAATGCTAGGGACAGACTGACGGAGACAGGAGACTGAGCACAAATTGGAGGAAGTGCGACTGCCGACTTCGTCTTTGCCTTAGACATCAAGACCGTAAGAGTCAGCATGAAAGAGAAGCTTGGATTTGGAATCGTAAACAGAGAAGTCGTCGACGGCGAAGAAAAGAGATGTCTTGAGCACCATAAGTTGGGTTTCCTCTTGGTAGCAAAAATTCTCTCGAACCAGAATTCCTCTTCTCATGTTCATTAACAACCACAATCACTGAACCACATGTTTCATTCAAATCTCTTATACCCACGAATAAATAACTCAATTTTCTACAGTAGAAGAATAAAAAGAACTGAAGAAGAAAAGATTGAAACTTGGGATTGGGAGTTGAGGGAGTGTGATTGTTGACTGCAACTTATGTAGGAATCGTCACTTGTGGCCTTATATTAATACTCGGTGTCCACGCGACACTCCCAGCTCTTTGACAAACCTCTCTGCCGCTGTCTCTCTCCCCCTCCTATGTTTCAGCTCAAATATCCAAGGCTACTTTACACTTCGTCTGGTATATCAAATCAGGACCAACTCATTTCCATAAAAAATTCCTCTTCACTAGAACTGATTCAACTGACTAGTAGTAAAATCAGTATTCTAGAGAAAACGAGTAAGGGAGCGAACTGATTTTCTCTGCAATTTGATTCGTTACAGATGTGGTATATGATCCATTACCTGCTTGCTGCTTCGTTTAAACAAACACCCACATTCATTATCTGGATGGTAGAAAAAAAAGTTGTCGTAAAGCTAGAAAAAAAGCTCATCAAGTTCATAAACTCATCATCACATTGATCGGGATTATCCATTGTCTAGGATAAACCAAGTGGAAAAGTGAGAATTTAACTTAATGGAAAAGTGCAAATTCCTTGTTTTCTATTTGCCACTGTTAAAGGTAGAAGTGGAACCCCAAGTTTAATTCAATGGAAATTCAAAAGGGTGAAAAACAGGGGTTTCAACGGATTTGGAATACTTGCTATGGATGAGGGATGAAATTGATAAAAAATCCTCCTTTTTGAGTTTTGAGCAGAATATAAATATTTGTGGATGGGTTTCTGTTTTGAACTTTTCATTTGGGCAGCTTGATCCAAAATAATTACAGTTCATACTGTTTACTCTCTACATGGGAATCTAGTTGAAATTCCTCCTACGGTAGACTGCACCACCACCCCTTTACCTTTTTCGTCTGAAAGTGAACCATAATATAGCAACATATACCGACCAACATTGTGACAACTGAAGCAATCTATGTTGTCTTTGCGAGGGAAAAACTTGAACTCGACTAACTGGTATGTAATAAAGGGCCCACGAATCCCAACCACCCCACCCATCCTCACAAATTGGAGGAAAGCCAGGTTTGGTGCTACGAAAGCGGATTCGTGAACCGGTAGCAACCATTTTGGTCACAGGTGGCAGGATTAAGGCGTTTACAGGGAAATTTTTTTTGTCGATTTTCGTATAGCCGTATAGGGGTATTTCAATAAAAATATATATATATATATATATATATTAATTTATAAAAGGGTAAAATAGATATTTAAAAAAAATTGATGCATCGGTCTAATGTTTTCCGTTCAGGTCAATAACGAAAGGGAAGTTTGTCAAATTCTTTAAAAATTCAAGAGAGGTTTTTGTTACTTTAGAAAAGGTGTTTTGTATTTTACCCAATTGTTTATTTCGCTTTGTGTTTATGTGAGAGGGGGTTTCTTGAGTCACTAGAGTGACGGGGCACATTCAAATTTGGAATTTTCTTTTGGTAGATAAATTTGGAAAAAGTTGAGAGCTGCTATGAATTTAAAAAGATTAGCTGGACTTGATAAATGTATTTATGGGACCCATAATAATGTCCCATGCCATGAAGCCAGCGATAAATTGTAGGCCATATGAGCACGGGGTGTTAAAGATTGATCCCACTAATTCGGATTTTCTCATCACACAATGTTGCAGCCGAGATCCCACACCATTCTAACAGTCTTTTGTAACATTGCATTGAGAATATCTCCCCATTAAATAATGTATATAAGAACGGAAATATTCTCAATGCAAGGCAGTAAAAGCTGCTCGAATGGGCTTTGCCCTTATTGAATCCAAGTTCGTTGTAGCCGTGCATTGAGAATGAGATCGGATCTGCTCCTCACACATGCACCTAACATCGATTTCACATGCGCATTCCATTGTCTATTTAGAACATCTTCCGTACTTATGGCTGTGTTTGGTTACAATGCAAATAAATTTGTACTGATGTAAAATTATGGCAGTGCAAATGATTTGAATGTAAATTCTGACCTATTTTCTTTCAAATTTTAGCTTATTTTGTTTGATTGTGTTACAAATGAAGTAAATTAAGACATGAAGCAGAATAAAGTAAAATACAAAACAATATACAAGTACGGGGTAGATATGTTCTTATTGTGCAGTTGCAAGTGTTGTGAGATTAGTATGAGGAACAAATCCGGGTTCTAATCCGGATGGCAATTTTCTCATCCTCATTGGGTACTTCCTAATCAATGTTTTAGAAAACAACCCCGAATTGGAACCATTCTGGCCAATAGTTTTTGAGTCGATGGTTCGACCGTCTGGTCCGAATGGATGGCCCATTTTCCAAAAAAAAATTTAAAAATAATTAAAATAAAAAACAACCAAAAACCGTTGAATAGGTCGAATGGTTCGATGGTTTGACCGCCCGAGTCAACGGGTCATTGACTGATTCAACGATTTTTGGCCAAGGACTGGGTTTGGGGTAAAATGGAACCGTTGCCTGGATAGCTCCCGGGCCAAACGGTCTGAACACCTGGGCCAATGATGGTTTGAAAACCATGTTCCCGATCCAATGAGGTTGGGAATGGGGATTATTTTGAGAAGGTGGGGATGGGGATTAATAGGGATCCCCGACCCGAGGTCAAGGTCAAGGTCAAGGTCAAGGATGGGGAATGAAGTCCTTTCCTTATCTCGACTCCAATTATTAATATATATATATATTATTTATATCAAAATATATTTAAAATATTATTTATATTTTAAAATTCTTTTACTTTAAGTAAATTTATTTTTCAAAAATATTATTAATAAAAAATTTGAGAATTTGAGCCCCCATGGAGAACCCGACTCCATTGGGGATTGTGGATGAAAGACAACTTTTAACCGAATTGAGGGTCCGGTTGCCATTCCTAATCTCATATCTTTGAAACATGGTTATCAAATTTAGCTAATCTTTTCTTTTCTGATGTGTCATACCTTTGTCATAATAAAAACATTTTAAAAATAAAGCCAATTACTTTATGCGCCTAACCAGCATGCAGCTCCACCAGATGGGTTTTTTTTTTTTTTTATGTAATTTCTCTAAAAAACACTACATAATCAGGTGGTGGCATTCTTGATTACTGGTGAAACAGAATGTGAAGCGCAATGGTTCCAAACACCCCCTTAACAGTATCCCCTCCTGGACACACAGACAATAAAAAGTAGAGGGGGAATCTTTATTATTCCAAGGCATTGAATACTCATTCTTTATATAGAGATTGTAGATACATTGAATGGATGAATGGTCATTGAATTCGCATAAACCATTACAAATGCGTGTTCCGAATGGTTTGGTTTGATTTTTGAAATCACCAAGAACAAATTTTTCAATCTGAGCCAGACTGATTTAGAATTGCTAAGAATCAATTCGCAATTTGACCAATTTGAACCCGTCAAAGAGAATAATATAAGAATAGCTGCAGAGAATCGATTACCAACTGGGCCAATCCAAATCTAATTGTAGATGAGAATCAATTTAGATTAGTCAGAGAGGGGAGAATCGATTCACAATTTGGAGAAATCTCCATCAGTCAATTCTCTTGGAATACTGTTCATCTGGCCTTGCATAATCTAGTAAACATTTGCATTTATTGATTATAATGTTGCCATATCAGCAGGGTTTCTGTATGTAGACGTTTTCTGAAATTAGAAGCTCTGAACAGACCCATCTTACACCTGAAAATTCTGCCAACTTAAAACCATTGAGCGAAGAACGCCAAACTACTTCAATCCAAAACCCTTTTTTCTTGTTTAGCCATTCTATTTTGTTTGGTGTCAAATCATTAGTACTTCAATCCAAAACCTTTT